GTCGAAAGGGTTTTTCCAGACACCTTTGCCCTTTAAAAATTTAAATACAATGTCAATCGTATTCTACTGTCTTCTTGTTTACTAGCGGCATTCAAGCTAGCTCCTGTGGAGGACTCTTGTTTTGGCCACCATCACAATATCTAGGGAGGAGTAGATGTGATAGCCATGAAAAAACTACAGAAGAACTCAAAATTGATCGCTGCATTTAAGAATTAAATTAAAGTTTAAGCTTACCTTTTAAAAGATCAACGATAATTCTTCTGCTTCCACTTAATCTAAAGACGATTTGATATACGTAGATCCTTATCTTCCGTACAAACAATTATTTTTATTTCATGGTTGACAGAACAGTGGACAATTTACAAGATAAAATTAATATAGTGTAAAGTTAATTTATGAATGACATATTCATTTAAATTTTTTGTTTCAAAGATTTCAAGTAGTGAATATATCTTACTTTTGCGAAGCGCTTGCGAATATATATATATATATATATATATATATATATATATATATATATATATATATATATAGGTGTATCAAAAATGATATTACAAACTTTGGAGGTGGGTTCGTCACACCAAACAAGGTCAAAAATAAACATATTCCCGCAAATCCTAAGTCTTTGAGTTATTAAGTTTAAAGAAAATTTACGGTATATGGCGCTGTGTTGTCAGGTAGACTAGGTTTCAATTGTCATTCGTGTACAATTGAAAATGCTACGCTATTCATATCGTGAGCAGGCAGATATGATTTTTACACTCAGCCACGCAAATGGTAATGGACGCAAGACGGCACGACTGTATCAGAAGAGAGCCGAGTCACCTAACCCTTGCTGCTTAGACAGAATCCGTGGCACCAAAAACTATGGAGCGAAGAAGACAGAGATCTACTCGTAAGCCTGACCAAGGAAAACGCATTCTACATGGCCTTTTGGACATATGTTTATATGGGCATTTTACATTGTTTTTGCTCCCAAAGTTTGTAAAATTATTTTTATACATATATATATATATATATATATATATATATATATTATATATATATAAAATTTGTTAATCCGTATAGATAATCATCACAAAGTGGATGTAATCCAGGGAGCTCAATTTCAAACCAGAGCGAATATTAATTTAAACTTAACAAGCAGACAACCTTAATCGCCCATCGATTATAATTTATTTCCCCAGAAAAAAACACCTTCCTGGGGAAATAAAATATAGTCAATAGACCCTTACGGTTGTATTTTTTAAGTTTAATTAAATTAGATTAATATATATATATATATATATATATATATATATATATATATATATTTTTTTAAAAAGACTTCTCGATTATTAAGTTCGGTAGGGGGAAATAAATAAATATACTGAAATATGCTGTTTAATAAATAAACGGTCTGCCTACTCATATACGACTATACACTAAAAAATAACATTTAAGGTGATATATATATATTTATGAAATGGACAAAGTCCAGCAATTAAGACATTTTATATTTCTGTTATAGATACAAATATTTAAATTTTTTTATAATAAACAGTTTATAACATTTACCGGCCTGAACCTTTATAGATATTCGTCGTTCAACATTTATCCTATACGAAACCGTAATAAACCTGACGTGCCTTTAACCAATTACGCCAAACAGAGCAAGGTTTTTACTGTTTTTAACCATAATATTCTAAATATTTTTATCTTTAAATGGACAAAGTCCGACAATTATTTTAAGACGAATATTTTCTCAGACATTCAGGCCATTAAATCTTATTAATAATGTTTATTATAAACAGAGCATTTATAAATATTTGTATCTTTAAATAGGAATGATTAAACATAAAATGTCTTTAAGATATATATATATATATATATATATATATATATATATATATATATATATATATATATATATATATATATATATTATGAATATACGCAATCTTCAGATTCAGAATACCAACCGACTTATGTAAGCGTTATGTAATTTGCATTCTTGTGGTGATAATTTAAAATTGTGTTAAGACATTTTCTTTTTATTATTGTTGTCTATTATATTTAAATTAATTATTTATAATTTATAGCGAGCAATGTTCGAAGCATTTAAGAAAATTATTTTAAATATTTAAAAAAAAAATTGAATTTCCGTAAACATGCTATGTATGAAGGGGGATTACTCCCTTTTTTGCATAAAAAAACTTTTTAATTGTAATAGAAATAATTGGCGCTTATCAAAATATATTATTAAAGTAATGTCTTACGGAATAAACTTAGCTCTCACGATTTTAATTTAATTATAGACGAAGACGATATATTTGGAACCTAGCCTTATACTTACAAAGCTGAAATTACATATGCACCACGTAATAAGATAATCAAGTACGATCTATATGAAATTATATATGTGTATATCTCTATCTATAAAAGGCAGGATGTGTGTGTGTGTGTGTGTGTGTGTGTGTGTGTGTGTGTGTGTGTGTGTGTAACGTATGCACGATCACAATTTTCGACGGATTTTCACTAAAATTTATATGCACATACTCCAAGTTAGTGGAAAGGCCAAGACCGACTTTACATTTCCGAATCGATAGTGGAAATAATTGATTTTTTTCATGCTTCTACGGCAACTTTCATGTAGTTTGCGGCCATTTTCTACTGGCCAGAGTGAGAGCCTATAGCTGGCTGCCACGAATAGGCAGGAAGATTCTATTGGCCACCGTGAGAGCCAACAGCTGACTGACACCAATGTTAACTAGCATGCAAAAAAAAAAATCGATAGATGCATTCGTCACAAGTGGGAAAAATTTAAATCTGCATGCCACTTTACTCCAATGGGCTCATTCGCTTGCTTAAACTCAACGTTGATTCTGATTCCGCAGAACTGAGTTGGGTGTGAAAAAGTATTTTTTCATTCGGTTTTTCCAGTTACGAGTCCTTTTTTAAAGCTGATCGTTTTGTGTTCATTTTGTTTAGTTCTTTTTTCGTAACAGATTTAATGTTTAGTATAGAACTTAGAAAAAATTCGCAGTGTAGATAGGCAAGAAGTAAAGCATGTAGCAACATCAGCACGGCAAAGGGCACTCCTTTAAAGGCAAGGAAGGGCAAAAATATTTTAAGTCAAGTGATAGCGATTGCTGTATGAGTCGTACGATTTTTGAATCAAGCACGGGCAACGCCGGGCCATGTGCTAGTATATATATAAAATGCTATTAATGACGAGTTCTAGTAATATTAATGAGGACGAATTTTATAACGCTCAACGGTCAATCCTGTACCTGAAGACTGCCTATCCGCATGAAACTCCGAGTCTTGTTATCGACATGGGATGTTATGTATATTCTCTAATAACAGTTATTACTGTTATTTAATATTGAGCACTGTTTTTATAACACCTGATCTCCGAGTGACCCCAGTGCAGCCGGGTTTCGATACTACCTAGAGGCAACCGGACGCCTTCCCACACTGATGAGCTGTGATACAGCGAAACAGACTATCTGTAGATCACAATATATATATATATATATATATATATATATATATATATATAACTTTACATGTAAGCAAAGACTTGAATCCGTGCTTACATATTAGAAACTTCCTTTTTAAGCACAGATGAGTCTGGATAAAAAAAAGTACATTTTAATTAAACCCCACCGATACATTTATAATAGCCTTGCTTTTCTTTTTTCCTCTTGCTCCTCCCCCTCCTTCTTCTTCGTCTTCTTCTTCACGTCTCCCGCCTCCCTTTTTATTACACCCAACGTCATGCGTTTGCTTATTTTTTTTTTAAATAATATAGCGTTCATTAGTTTAAAAAAAAAAAAAAATTGAAAAAGTAAAGCGTTAAGAGGTCATTTGATAAAAATCGTCTGAAGATACCGTAAGACTGAAACCAAGGTAGCGGACTCAACTAACCTCCGGATTTTTTAAAGTTAAAAGCTCTACACGTTATTTTTACTTTTATTTCATTTTTTCACACGTGTATTGAGCACATTTTAATACCACTGTTTCCTGGTCTGATTCTACACTGAGCATTAACCTTTTATAGATAGATAGATAGATAGATAGACAGATAGATAGATATGTACGTGCAAGTATATGTGCGTACAAGCGTGTTTTAGCATACCATATCTATCTCTCTATCTATCTATCTATCTATCTATCTATATATATATATATATATATATATATATATATATATATATAGACACAGAGACACAGAGAGATAGATAGGTAGATAGATAGATAGATAGATAGATAGATAGATAGATAGATAGATAGATAGATATAGATAGAGATGTACGTGCAAGTATATGTGCGTATACACATGTTTTAGCATACCCATATCTATCTATCTATCTATCTATCTATCTATCTCTCTCTCTCTCTCTATATATATATATATATATATATATATATATTGATAAAACAAAAAAAAAAAAATAAAACTAGTTATCTGAAAACTGTTATCGACGTCAGACGTTATCTGTTTTAATAAACCATTTTCATAAGACTTGTTCATTTTAAATCCAATTTTCAGTTCAATTGAACTGAATTTGTATTTTAATGAATTTGTCTTGAAAATGGTTTATTAAAACCGAAACGTCTGACGTCGACAATTTTTTCATTTTAACTATATTTATGGATTTTTGTTTGTTTTTCAAATTTCTACATTCTGTCGGATTTTATCCATTTACATATTGCTTATATATATATATATATATATATATATATATATATATATATATATATATATATATATATGAAGGGTAATTGAAGGTGAAAATTCAAATCTTCGCAAATTGGAGTATTTCTTAGTAATTTCATTTCCTTCCTCTTTAGGACAATCCTTTAGCTGTTTGGATGCCGGTGATCAAGATCAACTGAAGATTACGATTTTGCCAGTTAAGTTAGGCCCCAAAACAACCATCGTAGCGGATAACGTAGGCTTATTAAATATATAAATTTTATGACAGATCATTTTCTCAGATCTAACTCGCAATTCAATATATCGTGAATGGGAAAAAGAGTGAGCAAAGAGAGAGATAACGAGAGAGAAAGAAAACGAGAACGAGAGAGTGAGAGAGAAAGAAAGAGAGAGATAGTATGAAAGAATGTAAGGTGGGTAGAAGAGGAGGCAGCGAGAGAGAAATAAAGAGAAAGGTATAAAAGGAGAGAAAAAGAAATGTGGAAATATTGTGCGTTATTGAGAGAAGGAGAAGAAAGAAATAGGAATAAGGAAAGATACTGTAACTGGTAGACAAAATGGCGATACAGAATTTTAAAAAAAAGATGACAATGAAGGAAAGAGAGAATAAAATAGAAAACATAGAGAAAAAAGAAAGAAAATGACAGTCAAAGAGAGAAATGGAAATAAAGAGTGTATTTAAGAAAGAAAGAAAGAAAGAAAGAAAGAAAGAAAGAAAGAAAGAGAAAGAGAGAAACGGACTGACAGTAATGCCAAGTGTAAGACAAAGACAAGCAATGGTGGAGACTTTCAAAAACATCGAGAGAGACAGACAGAGATGAAAAGAAAAAGAATTATTGAATCTTAGAGGAAGAATATAATGTGCAAGAGAGAAAACAAAAAAAAAGAAAGTCAGAAAAACTAAATATGAAAGGCTCCTTTGTTCGACAGAGTTGTATGCAGGGATGTGTGTGCGAGGGGGGGTGCAAATGGGAAAGAAACTGATAAGGAAAGTGACAGATAAAGAGAGCACGCCAGCAACAAAGATAGAAGCAGAGAGTAAAGAACACGAAGTCAAAACGAGATACACCGAACAGAGAAAGAGAGACAGCAAGAAAGCGAACGAAAGATACTGATTCCAAGAGGAAGACAGAGGCAGATATTGACAGAGTCATTCAGAGTGACGGGGAGAGATGAAAGAAAAATGTCTAAGAGAAAGAAAGTAACAACGAACAAGATGAATTTACTGACATTTTTTTAATCATTTCACCCCAAGCAAGGCATAAGTGCCAGAAACACGCAGGGAGTTACAGAGAGTGAAAGTGTGAGAAAAGACTGAGTATAGTGAGGGGGATTGACGAAAGGATAAAAGATGAACGGGGTTTAAGACAACAAAAGATGGCGATTGGCGTTGAATTTAAGTCCCTAAAGATCATAGTTATCAGAGAAGCAATTAAGAGCAAGATAGTTCCACAGTCGGGAAGTGCGAGAAGAGAAAATGTTGGAGTAGAAATGACAGTTACATTTAACGATTTTAACAGTAAAATGGTGGGACCTATATGGCAATCTAGTATTACGCTTGAATTCATGTAGTCGAGACACCAGGGGAAAAAGTTCGTCAGAACAGTTGCTATGAAAATATTTGTAGAAAAGACAGGGGAGCCACGTCACGTCTATGAGAAATAAACTGAAGTCGAGACGCCAGGCTAGGATCGATTACACTGTAGATCCTTCTTTGGATTTTGTTAATAATCTCAAAATGTACAACAGGGGCACCAGACCGGATATGGCTACAGTATTCAATGCACGGACGAAAGCTAGATTTGTAGATGTGTAGGATGGACTCTGACGAGTAAAAACCTTCTGGCACAACATAAAAGAGAACGAATTTCCGTTGCAGGAGAAGCCGCCATTGGATCATATTTAGAAAGAAAGAAAAATATACAAGGTTTACACAATTCAAGAGACTGGTAAATAAAGGAAGAGTCGAGATAAACAGATTAAGAAAGACAGAAAAGGCGAATTAAGAAAAATGAGCGATACATCCTCGAATTAAGAAAGAATATAAAAGAGTTAAAAAAAAAAAAAAAAAAAAAAACGCGCACGCCCACATTTGCGACAGCAGAGATCTTGCAGGGTGATAATAATAAACTCTGTATTTCCCAACAAATCGCCGAAAACAAACGGATTCTTTCACAAGGATGAGCCTCGTTTTCGATGCTCTTGATAGGGAGTTGATAGGGTGAAAGAAAAAACGCAACCAGACGACAAAAACGCGACACTTGAATCAATACTCCATTATCTGACCAGCTAAGAAAGACCAAACTGACATTTTGCTCGTAATGAGGTCAAGCGAGTTGATTATGTCAAAAAGATACGTTTCTTAAATGTTAATGGAATTAGCAAGAAATCTGAATGCTTTGTCTCGTTTTGATTTTTTTTTTTTTTTTTGTTTGTTCATTTTTAATAAATGTATGGTATATAGAGATGAAGGCCGGGTTGATACATAAGTAAAAGCCAGAGTTACTGTCTATGGTACCATTTTATTCTTGACTCCATTTGGTTACAGCGGTTAATGTGGATGACTATCGTCTTATCCATATTTTTTTTTTCTTTTTTGGAGTGTTCATACAGGGTCGTTGTGTTTTTGGCAGACAGAAATTAATTAGTTGGCTTCATCCTTTCTTCTTTTTCTTCTGGGTTTTGCACGTGCGGTTAAACTCAACATCAGATGAATCTTCAACCCTTGCATCTCGAACTGCTACATCGAACCAATTTCCCACTTCTTCCCTTTCTTTCTGATTCTGCTTCTTCTCCTCTTTTTCGCACGTGGCTTTTTACCTTCTTTTTATTGGGCCTGACACATCCCTGTTTTCCGATTGATTTTTGGCGGGACGTGTTGTCATTGGTTGATTTTTTTTATGACGTTCACTGACCCACATAAGCTATGTCCGGGTTCTGCCAGTTACCGCGGATAGGAACAACAGAAGGAAGGAAAGGAAGAAGGTTGTAATAGAGAAGAGAGAGAGAGAGTTTTCTTTGTCACTCTCTTAACGAAAAGGAAAGTGTATTTTTCATATGGTTTAACTAATACCTGATCGTACTACACATGTTTCTGTAGAAAAAGAAATTTACTTAAAGGAAGCATGGATTTTCAAATAAAAGGCTTTTCACTGGCATGAAGTAAAGTGATTATATTGAATCAATTGCTAGGTCTACTGCTAGGAAAGTTGGTTCACTGTGTCGTATTTAACTGGCCTGGTGTTCCAATTTCATAATTCTTGAAAAAGTTCAAAGGTCTGCAATGTAATAGGTCCCGAACTGGCATCTCGACTTCAATCACATTCCCACAGATGTGATGTAGCTTCTCTCTATCAGTTTTACAAATATTTTCAATTCTTCTTTCCTCATTAATGCATAAATTTAAGTATAGTACTCGATGGACATCTAGGTCTCACTGTTTTATTGTAGAATTAGCTTGATACAACCGTCTGTTTTATTCTGATAGTTTGTTTTAACTGACTTCTCACCTATGGAGATCCTTTCTGAATTCTTACTTCTCCTCCAACTACAATCTCCAAAACTTTAAACGAAACATCAATCGTCAGCTTCCGTATTCATGAATCCTGTTCCTTTATTGTTCGTTATCTCACTTCTCCTCGTTAAAGTCTTCTCATTCGCTTTCACTTTTTTATGGCGTTCACTGACCCACATAAGCTATGTTTGGGTTCTGCCAGTTACCACGGATAGAAAAAATAGAAGGACGGAAAGGAAGGAGGTTGGTTCACTGTGTCGTATTTAACACTTTCTCTCTTCAAATATACATCTTGCATATTTATAAATCTATCATTCGTCCGAGCATTGAATGTTGTTCCATGTCTGGTCTGGTGTTCCGATTATATATTTCGTTATTCAAAGAATGGTCTGCAATGCAATAGGTCCTGAACTGGCATCTCGACTTCAACCACGTTCCCACAGATGTGACGTAGCTTCTCTCTATCAGTTTTACAAATATTTTCAATTCTTCTTTCCTCCTTAATGCATAAATTTAATTATATTACTCGATGGACAGCTAGGTCTCACTGTTTTCCTGTAGAACTAGCTTGATACAACCGTCTCTTTTATTCTGATTGTTTGTTTTAACTCACTTCTCGCCTATGGAGATACCTTCTGATTTCATGCTTCCCCTCCAACTATAATCTCTAAAACTTGAAACGAAACGTCAATCGTCAGCTTTTGTATTCATGAATTCTGTTCCTTTATTGTTCGTTAACTCACTTCTCCTCTTTAAAGTTTTCTCATTCTCTTTCACTCCCTGTAACCCACGGCAAACTAGTAGCCTTATCGCCTTGTTTGGGGTGAAATGATTTTAAAAATGTTAACAAACTGTAAAAGCATACAAATTCTACGACTTAAAATAAATTCAATTTCATTTTTTAACATTTATTTTAACTTGATTTTTGAACACGCTTGCAATTTACGGCTTGGTGTTCCTAATCGATTCTCTACTTGTCGATCAATACTTTTAGTGCTTGCAGCTTGAATCGATTTCTGGATTACATTTCGGATAACTATGGTTTTAATGGGAGACAGGACTTTGATGAGAGTTACAAATGTGCCCATCATGGACGAAAGCAACCACGGCTCTCCACTACTTCTTATTCCTTGTAACTCTTAGCAATGTTTGCTTTTTGCACAATCCTTCCGATTCCATGTTCTGCAGTCCATTTACACAATTTCTTTAGATACATTACTCTGTTTTCCTCTGCCTATCTTACCTTCCCTACGCCATATGTGTGTCATATTCTTCAAGCCTTCTTTCCTTATTATGTGTCTGAGAAATTCCAACTACATCTTTCTGAATCGAAATATTAGGTTGGTGCGAAAATAATGACGTAATAATGTCGTTTTTTGTCGTTAAAAATACGTCAAAAAACGACATTATTATGTCATTATTTTTGCACCAACCTAATATAAGTGTATTTTGTTCCATTTTCCTTAGAATGTTTCATTGGTTGCAGGTTCTGTCCATGGCATTCTAAGCATCCTTCTGTAGAACCACATCTTTGTTGCCTCAAGTCTTTTCTTCATTTGTAACGAAATTATCCAACATTCACTGTTATATAAGAGGATCGATATTACATAGCAGTTCGGTATACATTTTTTTCCAACAAAATTTTCCTGTTTCTTAATACTTTGCTTAGCTTTTGAATAGCATATTTTGCTATTCCAGTGCAATTTCCGATTTCCAATGCACCTTCGAAGTTCAGTGTCACATTTTCCGCCGTCTGTTAAAAGACTGCCCAGATATGTACATTTTTGATTTGCTTATTTTATAACATCTCCAATCATCTGCTTGGATAGTGAATTGTTCTTCTTCTTGCCACCCATACATTTAATATTCTTACAATTGAGGGTTCATCATTTCTTCCTGTTTCGCTACAATACATTATTTTAGAAAAGGAAACAGAGGTGAATAATACAATACATTATTTTAGAAAAGGAAACAGGAATGAATAATACAACAAATTATTTTTAAAAAGGAAAAAGGAGTGAATAATTCACTACATTATTTTAGAAAAGGAAACAGAAGTGAATAATTCAATACATTATTTTAGAAAAGGAAACACGAGTGAATAATACAATACATTATTTTAGAAAAGGAAACAGAATGGAATAATACAATACATTATTTTAGAAATAGAAGCAGAAGTGAAAATACAATACATTATTTTTAAAAATGCAACAGGAGTGAATCATACAATACATTATTTTAGAAAAAAGAAACAGGAGTGAGTCATAGTGATCACAACAGAGTTAATAAGCAAGAAAGCCATGTTCAAAGTCTATGGTTGCAGCTACGCACTCTTTCGGGACCAACCAGTCGATGGCTTCAGATTGCAATGTTTGGCATTTCGGTTCCAAATGACAATGGAATCTGCCAATTTATCCCCATTCTTAGTAAAATTCAGTTTCTAAAAATATCAATTTTCTTTGATAAAACTGAGAACAGACATTCAGTAACTCGGAAGTGATAGAAACATGACATAAATCATATTCTATTTTTAAAGATTAAAGTTCTTTCTTCGTCCAGGGTATGACGATAAACTACATCCAGCAGTAAGGCCTTTGATCGAGAGGTTTTGAAGAGCATAGAACCACCTTTTAATTGGTG